CATAGGGAATTGAACTCAGAACCTCTGGAGGAGCAGCTAGTATTCTTAACCACTGAGCCACTTCTCCATTCCCCTTCTTTCCTTTTTAAAATTAAACTACTTATCACTTCTTTGAGAATTTCATACATGTATACAATGTATTTTTATCACTGTCACCCTCGTTTCCCCAAAGATTTCTCCAAAATCTCCTCCTCTGTTTCCTAAGTTCGTATCCCTATGTTTTTTTCTTTATAACCTACTGACTCCTATTAAAAATGCCCAAATGCATATGGACATTTGATCATCTACTGGAGCACAGGCAACCCGCCAGAGGACACACTTCTAAAGAAAACTGATTATCCCTCCCCAAGAAGCCAATGGCCAATAGCTCCTCAGCTAGGGTGGGGCCCCATGTGCCCCTTCCCATCAGTGCTGGGACATTGACTAGCTTTATCTTGTATAGTTCTTGTGTAGGCAACTACAGCTGCTGTGAGTTCATGAGCACAGTGGTCCTGTCCAGAAGATATCATTTCACCCTGATCTTTTCTTCCTTTTGGCTGTCATAATATTTCCACCCTGTCTTCTGAGGGTGAAGGGTGAATGAATGTGTGTGATTCCCTCCCTCCCCTCTCTCTCACATGCACACACACACACACTCATGTCTCAACACTCCACTGAGACCTATTCTCTGTACTTTAACCAGCTTTGAGTTTCTGCATTATCTACCATCTTCTATTCCTCTTGTTTCGATTCTTATTTCAAACTACGCACTTGTGCGTTAGCTTTTCACTGTAGGACATAAGAACTTGCATCCTAGTTAATGATTCCTGTGTGGAAGAAGTGAGAGCTCGGAAGCTCCACTTCTAGCTGAGGAGCTCCTGGCAACTAGGAAGGGATGCCATATTTCTTCTGGGATGTGGACACTGGTATGTTGTCCATGTTCATAAAAGCAGCACTAACTGGATTCAGTGAGTCATTAAAAATCACAACAAGACATAAAGCAGAGAGGGTACATATTGGAGGGTATAGGGATAGTTGGAGGAAAGCTGAGTATGGATATAATCATGATATTGTTCATATATATCAAATTGCCAAGTGAAACTATTGTAAAAAGGAGTCCAGATCATTCTGCAGGTGTCCTGGGACTCAGATCCTTACCCATCACAGCCATCTATTGACTATCTAAGCCTGGTTGGTACAATGTACAGCAAAATCTAAAAAATAAATAAATCATGTTATTTCTTCACTTTTATCAGTGAAAGGTTCTTAAGGAAAACAAGTTTTGAACATGTTATATATTAACTAACCTGAGAACTACACTTTTTGTATCAATGAAGGAAGACGTGGAATTGTTCTCTTGGACTTGCTTAGCATTGGAATTTCCAACCAGAGACAGTGTGACTCAGCCTTACAGGAATTCAAGAGGGTGTAAAGTCCAGTACACCATTAAGGGTCAGGCTGAACTTTGGCTTGTTTGTCTATTTACCCTATAAAAAAATGTGGAGATGCCTAAGCAGAACACATGGTGTATAATAAGAGTTGGTGAGCCTCAAATTTGGAAAGAAGGCTCTGGGGACTTTGAATTAAGTGAGGACTGTCACAACCTGTTACTTCTATTGAAACAATGGGTTTCTTTAATTATTCATATGAAAAAGCCAAGCAAAGACGACTCCCTGAAGACCTTAGAGCAGACACCTTCTATTTCCGAAGAACTCAGTAGCTGCAATATTTACAGTCTGAAGAACACAATATAATAAACACATCACCATCTCCACCACAGAGGCCACAATCAGCAAGTAAGTAACAAACAGGTTCTTAGTCCCCAGTCCTCTCTGCTTATCCTCAAACAGACTTGTACATAGGATTTACAACTTGCTGTCAGAAAAGAAACCCAAGATTGAAAGGTATTGCTTATGTCATCTCACATGTCACTGTGAGAATCATCCATAAAATTGAGCCTGCCAAATAAGGATTCCTCAAGGTGCTCAGCTGCCTGTGCGCCGAGTTCTGAGATGTGCCACCCAATATTACTTTTGCATTACATACACTACTGATACGGGCCGTTCTCACAACTTGCCTAAACATCTGGATATGCCTTACTTCCTACTTGGCCCTGACACAGTTGTCTATTAGATTGCCGGGGGGAGGGGGAAATGTTTTTCTTAGGAGTAAGTTGCTTTTGTTTTGATTATTTGTTTTCTGTTGCCCTCTAAGTTTCCAAAAAGAAAAAAAATTATCACAAAATTATATTTGAGTAAGAAATCTTGGTGTGCCCGTTTGATAGCTATCTAACTGCAGAGTTGCTTCTTGTTGTTATTTAACTCCTTTGGTAACTAACTCAGAGTTTCACCTCCTTGGTGATCTGCAATTCACCCAGCTTTCACTGACCAGAATGAGGAACTCAAAGTCCTTCTCTCTTCCTCCACTATCACAGCTGTGTATGTGAACATGCTGTATGTAGACCATCTAAATAAAAGGTTGTAATAATTAACTTTATGTCTTAATTTGACTGAGTGACAGTGCCTAAATATGAGGGTGAGTCCCTCTCCTGCATATTTTTTTGTGAGAGGATCTTGGTGTGAAATTTACTTTGAAACAATTGAAATTTAACGGATGCAGATTATCCTTTATAAGCCAGGCCACCCTCATCCAATCAGAGGCTGTAAGTAGAAAGGTCTGATCCTCTCTGGCCTAAAGGGACTTCTGCAGCACACAGCCCTGAACTTTGCATTGCTTCCCTGACTCCTCTCTTCTCCCGTATTACCAGCCCACCCTGTGTGTTTGGCTTGCTAGCCTCCATAATTGCAGAAGCCAATACCTTAAAATGAAACAAGAATAAGGGAAAAACTCCATGCACATTCTACTGGTTTTGTTTTTCAAGAGAACTTTTTTTTTTTTTTTTTTTTTTTTTTTTTTGGTTTTTCGAGACAGGGTTTCTCTGTGTAGTTCTGGCTGTCCTGGAGCTCACTCTGTAGACCAGGCTGGCCTCGAACTCAGAAATCCGTCTGCCTCTACCTCCCAAGTGCTGGGATTAAAGGCGTGAGCCACCACCGCCCGGCTCAAGAGAACTTTAATACCCTAGTATTTTCTAAGTTTCTATTAACTCCTCGAAGCATAGAATTCTTAAAACAGTGAAAACAGGTTCATAGGAAATTCCAAATTTATTAACTATAGCAGAAAGCAGCATCTGAGTTCTTTGCTTTGCCTGTCTGTTCTGTTTTTTTTTCCCTCTGTTTATATTTCTTTGTGGTGCTAGAGAATCAAACCCACAGCTGTACTTTGCTCATGAAAAAAAAAAAAAAAAGGATTCTATCATGAAGCTAGGTCTTGAGCTCCACTCTGTTGTGTGGATTGAAAAGGTACAGCAGTTACCGTTATAACTCACAAATCAAACTCAAGTTTCTCCCGGAGAATGCGTGCACTTAGTCCACGGGCAGGCTGTAGGCCATAGGGAGCAGCAGCCCATGTCCTCCACACCTGGGGAAAGTCTTATGGTGTAGCTTCTCAGCATCTGGCTGTTCTTGGTGTAGCTTCTCAGCATCTGGCTGTTCTGAGTTACTTACCACTAGGCAATTGCTTACAATGGCTATAAGACCAGAAGAAGAACAACTATAATCTTCAGAGGATTAAATGACCTGGAAAGGCCAAAAGAAATTGTCCCAGGAAACAATTGATGTAAGAATATGGAGAAAATCAACTTCTAGAGACAACTATCTTACTTATCTATGATTTGGAAAAGCAATCTTGGCAATTGGTTATAGCATCATCCCTAACTGGGGAAGCATTTCAGAGATGCAAGGTCAGAAGAGAAAAAAGCAGTCCACTTTTCTCTTGAGTCAAATTTTCTGCACCATTGAGAAAGATTAATAATGTACCCAGAAAGCATGTTAAACTATTATTTCCTACTAAAACAAAGTAAATAGGTTTTGGGAACAAAGTACAAAATTTTCACATTTTCCAAGACTTCCATAGATGAGTGGCTTCTAGTAGGTTCCTAACCACTAATGTCAGTCAATATTATATTTCCTACTGCCCTCAGCAGGATGCCTTTGATGGAAAAAGTTTCAAGTGGATAGAGGATTGGGTAAAGAAAATGTAGTACATATACACAATGGAATTTCAAATATCTGTAAAAAATGAAACCATGATGTTTTCAGGAAAATGGATAAAACTAAAAATCATTGTGTTAAATGAAATAAACCATACTAGAAAAACAAAGAACTGGATATTTTCTTTTGTTTGTAGAAACCAGATTTAAATTGGTTGTGTGTGTGTGTGTGTGTGTGTGCATGTGTTTCCTGAAGCTAGAAGGCGGATCATAAGAAGGTAGGAAGAAATCTTGGACAAGAGGTGAAACAGAGGATAATGTGGTATGTGTAATAAGAAAACAGAAAGGGAGACTCGTGGGGGATGAAAGGAAATCAGCTAGAGAGTGAGAGGGAGTGCAAGGGATGGAGCAGTGAAACCAGATTATTGGGACACATATGTATGGAGGTGCCACGGTTGAAACTGTTACCTTGTATGCTATTCTAAAAATAATAAGATAGCAATAGAACATTGTTAGGAAGTGACAAGTCTTGGGAAAGGGGCTGGATGCAGGCTCTGTTTGAGATGACTATGCTTTGACTTAAATAAAAAAAACAAACAAAAACAAAAATGAGCCAACTCTTTCAAAGAAGAATCCACAAAACAGAGAGCTGTGAACAGAATGTTTTAATGATACTGTTAGTTGAATTTTGCATCCTGTTTCTCAGAAACGCCCCTCTTTGTGTAAATGCTTTTACTTTAGTCGTTATTTTCTTTCTCAACAATGGGCATTTACGGAGAATTTCCAATTTCATTCACATGTCTGCAAGGGTTTTTCACCAGTGCCCCTTTCAGAGTCTTCATGAGCTAGACATAATACATAATGTAGCGAAGGCTGCATTAGCTCTTCCCATTTCTCCAAGCCTGTGGTTTGAGCACACTGCTGTGCTAACTCCTACCATATCTGTTCTTTCCTTTGCAACACTCAAGTCCATTTATGGGGCAGCAGATATATCAAAGGTCAATGTGTTCATGTCAAAATAGCGCTGTGCACTTGCTTTCAAAGAAGTCGATGCTTCCCAAGCCTGCAAAGGAAACACAAGTCAGGATGTCTGAGCAGGTGGGCATGACTGCACTCGTAGTTCTCTTTACCTAACATGCGTACTAATCTGTTCATTCTGGTGCCCAGATGTCTAACACTGTGAATCAACATGGTTGCCTTGTGACAGTACAGAACCTAACCATTGATTACTGAATTGGTCTATGGTAACAAGCAGGAGTACACTTGAAAATTTTAACATCCCATAAAGAAAGCACCGTGTATCAAGCTGATATACTTATTTCATTTGCCAAAATAAACCATGTTGGATAGTAGTAACTGTAAATGATAGCTGCTGGAGAAATGGGAGCACAACAGTACGTGCATTATCTAGCTGGTGGTTTTCATCAGCAGCTGCCGAGCAAAGCTAAGTGGCCCTGGTAGACCTGCTAAGACCTAGCCGTGCAAAGAAGGCTAGGATTGGGGCTGTACAAAAACAGGGACATTCTACTTTTTTTTTTATATGTATTTTTATAATGCACTCATGCCTGATCGACAATGACAACCTGATACAGAAAGAGATAAAGAAACGGGGGGGGGGGGGAGAGGGCAGAGGAAAGGAGGAGGGAAGAGGAGAAGGAAGGACGGGAAGAATGAAGGAAAATTTAATAATTTGTAATATACGTATTTTTAAGTTGTTAAACTGTAAGGGGGCAATCATGGCTAATGGGCATCCTCAGGTAAGTTAGCAATTTCACTGGGTTCACACTTCCACTGTTTTCTTCTATAGGAAAAGTAAATGTGACAGACGACTGGAGCTGGAACAAATGAATAGAAAAATGCATAAAAGGTAAGCACATGAAGGAGCTTCAAAGGCACAATGATGCTACAGAGGAACACTAGTCAGTAAACAACTAAGAGTAAACTAAAGTGTGGCCATTATCCACTTATCCACGTACCCAAGCATTCAATAACATATTAAGCCTTGACTGTAATGGTTTGTATATACTTGGCCCAGGGGGTGGCGCTATTAGACGGTGTGACCCTGTTGGAGTAGGTGTGACACTGTGAGTGCCAGCTTTAAGACTCTCATCCTAGCTGCCTGGAAGTCAGTATTCTGCTAACAGCCTTCAGATTAAGCTGTAGAACTCTGTGCTTTGCCTCCACCATGCCTGCTTGGATTTCGCCATGTTCCTGCCTTCATAATAATGGACTGACTCTCTGATCCTGTAAGCCAGCCCCAAATAAATGTTGTCCTTATAAGAGCTGCCTTGGTCATGGTATCTACTCACAGCAGTAAAACCGTAACTAAGACAACTGTGTAGCAGTAATTGTGTAGATTCAAAGGATAATTACCTTGATGGATAGGACACAGGCCTGACATTTGTAACTTAGTGAGGTTGAGAATATGAAACTAAGAATCCCCATGTTATTTTGAGAACTGTTCACATATAAACAGCATGCAAACGGGAGGGGAAAGGAAGCACAAATGAAGAAGAGGATATCAGAAAGAAAAGGACATTTGTGCTCAATATTTCAGCAAGATGTGGCATTTACTAGGTAAAAGCCACTTTATAGGGAGGGAGGGAAATTACAGCTCTGGGAAGCTAAAAAGAGAACGGCAAGCAAGGCTGGTATCATCAGAATGCCAAGGGATGGAAGGCCAGTTTACAAGATTACAGTAAAGGACTACTTGTATCAAATACCAGTACCTCATCAGCAAGTGATGTTCCCTTCCCATCTGGGTGATGATCTGGGTCCCAGAAATCTTGCAAGTGTATCACTTGTCTTTTTAGGCGTAGGAACTGGTTTGCTGGGTCCTCCATCAAAAATGGTGCTCCCAACACTTCTGCAATTAGACCAAGGGCACAGAGTCTTAGGACATGCATAATGTATCTATGTTTCCTCTGAAAAACACAGCTCTGGTGTTTGGGCAACCAGGTTTCTGAGGTGGGACACTGTGGGGGATATGACTGGCCCTCTGTAACCTGTGTAGTGTCACCACCATTACCTAAAAGTAGATAGAAAAGTATGGCAGAGTTGTGGTTCATGTATGGTAGCTCACAGTCTGGATTAAAGTCCCAGCTATTTTGAAATTCTGCAAAACTTACTACTTAATTCTAATTTTCTTGTAGGTAAAGGGCTCTGGTAACAACACATAATAAATTGCTATAAATGCTGCATAAATTAATAGATACTGGCTCCTGAACTTAAACCAGCCAGTCAATATTTGTATCCTGCTACATAGAGACTTCTAAGCCAATGGGGGTTACATGAGATTCTGTCTCAAAAACTAAACAATAAAACACATGCAAACTAATTCCCAAGGGGCTAGAGAATGGTTAGGAACACTGGCTGTACTTCCAAAGGACCTGGGTTGGATTCCCAGTACCCAATCTGTAAGTCCCATTCCAGGGAATCTTGTACTCACGTATGACCTCTTCTAGTCTCCATGGGCATCAGGCATGCACATGGTATGTAGACATGTTTGCCAACAAATTACCCATATGTATTAACAACAACAACAAAACCAGACTTTGTTAAAATATAGCTCACAGGGGGGAAATTGAATATACACTAAAAGTCTCCACAGCCTGAAGTAAGTTTAAGAATAATGTTCAGGGCTGGAGAGATGGCTCAGTGGTTAAGAGCACTGACTGCTATTCCAGAGGTCTTGAGTTCAAAATCCCAGCAACCACATGGTGGCTCACAACCATCTGTAATGAGATCTGATGCCCTCTTCTGGTGTGTCTGAAGACAGCTACAGTGTATTCATATATAATAAATAAATAAATCTTTAAAAAAAATAATGTTCAAATGATATAAAACCAAGCCAGATAAAAATGACAAATATTCAGAAAAAAATAGAATATATATTTTAAATTACTGCTTATTTAGTTTTTTTTTTTCAGAATTTTCTCTGTGTAAACAGTACTCACATTATTTTCATTTTTACCTCTACTTCTCTCCCCTCTAGCTCCTCCTGTGTCCCCACTTCCTCTCAAATTTGTGACCTCTTCCTTTTAAATTATTATTGTTATATATGTACATATGGGTGAATGCATACTCAATGTTCTCAGCTCACTTAGTATTCCTCATAAGTATATGTGCTTAAAATTGACAAGGGATTGCTTAACCTATCTGGGGCTCCTCCCTGGAAAAGTCTGATTTTTCTTCTCTCTAAGAAGTCATTATTTTCATGGAGTCCTTCATCTGGGAGTGGTGTCCTGTGACAGTCTCCTCATCTTGACATCTCCATGTTGACAGTAGACTGTATTTTGTTTCTAGTATAACAATCCTGCTCAGAAATGCAGCACAATGTGATCAATGCAGAGAAAAAACTGGAACTCCGCCCTACCTTTGCAGTAACAATATAATCTGTGTCTCATGTTTGGTAAACATTTCTTACAAAATGCAATGCTAAGAAATGCTACATCCAAGTAACCCCAAAGGAGAGGCCCACTCGCCACGGGAACAAAGCTTCCCAACATCTGTGCATACTACCACCTCAGAACATGATGCCTTTGCTATCCAGCCTCAAAATTAACAGGGCTTATGATCAACACTCCATTTGGAGCCAGGTTATAGTGAGATATAGCGCTCTCTCCCATAGGACTTGCCGGTTAGTTGGGGTCAAAGGTCAATGATATGCAGCAGAATGAGACAGCATTCGATACACTTACATTGTACTTGAGGATGGGACATAGTGCACAAACAGCTGTTTCCATGGTTTATGATGAAGATATTAGACCAAGAAGGTAGCAGAAGAGGCTGGGGTTTTCAGTTTAAATTAGGGGAATGATGTGTGGAAAGAAGGTTTAATGGGAATCTACAAAGCCTACATCTGAAAACAAAGGCTAGAAGTAAGTAGAAAGAGTCATAACTGTTAATATTTAATTTCAGAGCATTGTCATGACAGGTGCCAGGGTAATATGGTCTTAATATATCTAATCCAATTTCATGTAATTGAGCTGGGATATTTGCAAAGCCTCTCTAACAGTTCCCAGAAAACACCCCCTTCTCTCCTCCCCCCAGCTTCCTGATGTCCATACCCTCGGACATTTCCCACTTTCAGTTCATAGAGCTGTGCTGTGTAGCCCAGGACACTGCAAAAGTGATGGCATGTTATTCTTTTGTGACTAGTGTAGAGCTTCTGATGTGTTTTTCATTAAGTTACATGCTCTAAGAAAAAGTAGATGCTATGATCTGAAAACATCCAAGTAACCCCAAAGGAGAGGCCCACTCCCCAAGGGAACAAAGCTTCTGGACATCTGTGCATACTACCACCTCAGAACATGATGCCTTTGCTCCAGCCAGGCCTTAAGATGACTGTTTACCCACATAACTGTTGTATCTTTACTTAAAAAAAAAAAAAAACAAACCCAGCCAGGCAGTGGTGGCGCACACCTTTAATCCTAGCACATGGGAAGCAGAGGCAGGCAGATTACTGAGTTCGAGGTCAGCCTTGTCTACAGAGTGAGTTCCAGGACAGCCAGCCAGGGCTATACAGAGAAACCCTGTCTTGAAAAACCTAAAAAGAAAAATAAAAAAAAAAAAACCCAAACAAAACAAAAGTGGTAACAAAAAACAGAGCCAAAACCAAGGCCCTAAGCCACTCACAAACCTCTAACTCTGAGATGGGAATAATAAATGCTTATTGTTTTAAGCTGCTACGGTTTGAGGCAGTTAGCTACATCATAGTAGATAAACACCGCAGTAGGCACTTAGAGTAGTAGGTCCAGTAGGTTGCAGTAGGTCCAGGAGAAAACGTTGCTCACAAGGGTGAGTGTATAGTGAAGTAAGGAAGGGTCTTAAGAACATTAACATTCAAAGAACACATTCTCAGAGGTATGTAAATTTTGTGCCCCAAGACCCTCATGTTCCCTTCTTTTGACTCTGTTCTGATAATTGTCTTTGCTTGGTAAGATATCAGAAGATAGCCCTGACCCACAACCTTGGTATGCACACAGCGAAAGAATAAGCCACCTGTGCCATGTGGGAATTCATAGAGTTAACGTGTAACTTGAAGAGAACACATTGGAACCAGACAATCTATAGTATGTGTAACTATTTTTTAGGGATATTTTGCCTTATTTTATTTCTTTTAATTTTTAGACAAGGTCTTCCTGTGTAACTAGGCTAACCTGGTACTGACTGTGTACACAGGCAGTCTCAAGCCCTCATCTGTCCATCAATCCTTCTATCTCACCTTCCTCTGTATTGTAAATAGAAGGACACATCATGTTGAACAGTTTTAAGGACATAATTAATTTGCATACCACTGTGGAGACCTTGCAGAGAATCTGGTTTTGTCAGTAGACACAGAGATCTCAAGAGCTTGAAAAAGACAGTGGAAGTGAAAAACATAAGTTGAAAGGAGCCAACCCCCAAGAAAGAGTCTATCCAACCAAGATCAAGTTCAGACATATCCACTTTGCCAGTATGATGGAGAGGAACAGCTGAGCTGGAGACATGACATGCTTAGACAGTGTTGAAGGGTGAGTTGGTCCTGGAGCCCAAGGTATGTTGAATGCAATGCCAAGGGATTTGGATTTTAACCTGTAAATGCTTTATAATAATTTTTGAACAAGAAAATAAGGGGCTAGATTTACTTCTAGTTTTTTTTTGTTGTTGTTGTTGGTTTTTGTTTTGTTTTTTCGAGACAGGGTTTCTCTGTGTAGTCCTGGCTGTCCTGGAACTCACTCTGTAGACAAGGCTGGCCTTGAACTCAGAGATCCACCTGCCTCTGCTTACCAAGTGCTGGGATTAAAGGCGTGCACCACCACTGCCCAGCAAGTTATTTTTATTTTAATATAAATGCATGAAATGTAACAATGGTCATTTTAATTTTTTTTTTGAGAAATTACCTCACTATGTATAGTGAGGCTAATTATAACTAGGCTAGCCTTAAATGCATGGAGATCTGCCTCCTCTATTTCCAACTGACTGTCTGTGCTATTATCAACAAACATTTTAATTATTTTTGAGGCATCAAATTCATTTGTATGTTTTGTAACCACCATCTCTGTTCATTTCCAGAACCATGTCCTCATCCCACACAGAACGGTGTAGCAGTGACTCTCAACTCACCCTCTCCCAGTTTCTGGTAACCACTTCTCTCCTTCCTGTCTTCTTAAAGATACATTTTAGGTACCTTGAGTAAGTGGACATATTCTTGCATTCATGCTTTATTTCACTGAGAAAACTGTACTCAGGGTCCATCATGCTGTGAAGGGCCTATTCTCTTGTAAGGCTGAACAGCATTGCATAAACATGCCACATTTATCTTCCCGTTCACACCTCCGCTTTGTCAGTGGAGAGGCAGATGGAAAAAGGAGAAGGCAGATCAAAAGATACAAGGTTGAGACTCTTCTAACTGTCAGATGTGTGATAATGACCATGGAGATGGGAAATCACCACTGATCTGAAGACACTCAGAAGAGCCCTCATTCATTCATAATATGGACCAATCAGCACTGGTTTCTGTTTCTCTAAGAGGTGCTTATGGTGGACTCCTCTGATTTCTCATTTATTCTTCCTTAAGAAAAGGCAATAAGTCACTGTGTTCCATATCCTGGGCCTGATAATCTGTTTTAAACAGTGTTTTCAAAACAATGTGAATTGCTATGCAAAGTAGACCAAATATTACCAGGAAATAATGTTATTGCTAAATATTGATGCTTAAGTTATTCCAGGTAAAAGGAGAAAATGTAGTAGTTGCTTGACACAGTGTTCCTTAGGATCGTCTAGAAGAAAAACTCATATTCTGCAGCGCAATTATCCTGGTGCGTTGTACAACCTCTTAGAACAAAGGAGCAATTGCATAAGCCTCAGTAGAGAAGTGTGATTTAAAATATATGCTGTTGCTATTTTAAGCTTTAATCACCCTATCTTTGGAACTCTGTTCCCCTTTTCTTCATGGAAAATGTTTTACTGATACAATCCTCTCTTCCTTCCTAGGGCAAAGGACCCAGCTCAGCAGACAGGTCCAAGAGGCAGCCAATAAATATTAATCGGTGGTGATAATAGCATCACCCAGGAGACAGAGGGAGCAAGTGTTATTTATTATCTGGCATTACAAACGGGAAAATTGACCCTGGGGGATGAGATGACTCAAGGTCGCATCGGAAGCCGGTGACCAGGCTGGAAATAAAGTCTAAGTAATGTAGTGGAGCACGCAATTACCCTCTCTGCTTCAGAGAGTTCTCCTCCCCTTTTTGTTTCACTTGATCACCCTTGAAAGTTACTGAAAGCAAGAGCAGCGTTTTGAGTTTGTGGGTCTATTTAATGTGGCTGGGGTCTCAAAATTCAACCCCGAGTTTTATTGCCTTGTTGGTTTTCCTAAGGGTATTTTGTGATTTTGTTTTCTTAATGCAGTTAATACCAGCCAGATTAACGCCTTTATAAGCCATAAAAGCATCTCTCTCTCTCTCTCTCTCTCTCTCTCTCTCTCTCTCGGCAGGGTTTCTCTGTGTAGCCCTGGCTGTCCTGGAACTCACTTTGTAGACCAGGCTGGACAGAAATCTGCCTGCCTCTGCCTCCCAAGTGCTGGGATCAAAGGCGTGCGCATCACCGCCCGGCTGCATTTCTCTCTTTTTACTTTTTAACTCTTTATAGCGTATCATTTCTTCATTCCCTATTAGAAAGACTTAATAAGTTCTGTTTTCGTTCTAACAAATGTTCTCAAATATCCTCCAAAGAAATGCTAAAGGCAGAAACTTCAGACTGGACAGTTCACCTGGCACAAGAGACCCATGCTCTTCTGTTCCTGCTGGTGACTGCCTACTTCGCACATGCCTCCTCTCTGTTGTCAAGGGGGCAGAATTTCACACTCTCTAGGATGTACTGGAATAAAGGAGAAAGGGTCCCTAAGAGGCAAGTATAGAAGAAGATGGTGTGGAAACGATACACAAACATATACAAATGTACCAATATTGCCAAAAAATTAGATCCTATAAATGTTGGGGGAAAAGGTAAGGCATTTTCTATTGTTTCTCTCTCCAGCTCTCTCTTTCTCTTTCCCTCTCTGTCTGTCTCTCTCTCTTTCTCTCCCTCTCTCTTGAGAGACAGTTTAGCTTTATAGCCCAAGATGATCTCTAATTCACTGCTGTGCTCCCAACTCAGCTCCCTAGTGTTGGTATCCCAGTCATAAGCAACATGTCTACCTTTAAGTCCTTATTTTTTAAAGGACAAGGAAACCACTTATTTTATTCTCTTTTTATACTTGACTTTGGTCATTAAATCAAAGACTTGTGATTAAGGGATGGACAACTTGGTATTTAGTACAAGAAATAAGTGAGGTGAAAATGGAGCAGGAGGCCGGGAGGTGGGGAGGGGAAGGGGGGAGACTAGATGAATGAATATGAGAGAAGAGGGGCCATTTGGATTATGAATGAAGAAGTGAAGAGAAAAAAATTAGAAAGAAAACAAAAAAGGAAGAAGCTATCTTCATATCCTCACATGTGCCTATAGTCCTGGTCCTGGGGAGGCTGAAGCTGGAAGACCAAAAATTTGAGGCCAGCCTGGGTTAAATAGTGAAAGTTTGTCTCCACAGATCTAACAGGAGAGCCTTGGTGTGCATCTGTAATCCCAGAACTTGGAAAATGAATGGAGGTGGAGCCAACTTGAGCTACGTGAGGCCCTAATCTCAAAGGGAAGAAAGAAGTAAAAAAGAGAAAGAAAGAGTAAAAAGAATCAAAGGAAAGAGAGAAAACTGAAGAAGGTAGAAGAGGGAGAATGAAGGACAGATGGTCACAGAAGGTGAGAAGCCATGGGGCAAAGGAACAGGGTTGGAAGGGGTAAAGAAAAGACACCAATAGAGGAAGAGAACTGGGAAACAGAAAGGTTGGCTAAATTCTTTAATTTAGCTTGGCTTTTCAATTCTGGTGTATTGAAATATTTAACAGGATTCTTCACATCTGAACCTTTAGCTACAAAACCAGTTTTATTGACCTGAGAATTGCTGATGCCTTCAAATTCACTCCTATGCCCCTGTCTCCACTTACTGAGTGGTGATGTTATAGCATCTGTGGAGAATCCTGCAAAGGTACATCACCTGAGTTTAACTGAAGTCTGTTCCAGCTTTCAGCACAGATATAATGACACACAGATGCAGGTGGATTTACTGCGCAGTTCCTTGGATATGTTTTGGGAGCAGCAAAGGTCTCACTAGTTTTTAATCACATGGACAGGAAAGTTGAGACCCCATGAAAGGCAGCATTTCATACAATATGATAGTGACAGATAATGCCACTTCCTGGCTGTGTTTAGGATATCCGTATCCCCAGGGCTACAACACATGTTGCCACAGGGAGAAATAACCAGTTTCGCTAGTCCATCCACTACTCAATGAGTCTGGTCTTTAGCTATACCACCTTTCTCTCCAATCAGATTATTTCCTGTCATTATTATTTATTGTCACTATACATGTCCTTAAGAGTATCAGTCAATCCTACATCAGTACAGACCCACACCTGTTACCCCCAGCATTTGGGAGGCTGAGGCAGATAGATCTCCTGAACTTCCTAGACAATTCCAGGATACTCTAAGCTACATAAGACACCACTGTCTTGCTCATTATGAAATATAATTAATCAGGTAAAATTATAAAAAAAAAACCAACCCAAAACCTTATAAAATAAAAGTTGTATCAAGAAATACCAAGTTTCCAAAGGATTAGAGCCTTCGAAGGGGCAGCTGCGAAGAGCCACTCCTATGACTGAGAAGAAAGGTGGCAGAGGGGGGACTGAAGGCACAGACGAGCTCCTGAAGAAGGAAGTGTGAACATAAAAGTCCTTGTCATAAAAGATAAAACTGAAAATGAAAAGTCCTTTCAAGACAGAGTCACAGCTTACTAACTGGAGAGTGGGAACTAAAGGTTGGAATGACCAGAAACAAACAGGCCAAAGGTGGTTGATTTTTCTTCCTGTCTCCAGCTAGCAGATGTCCTTGTACTTTATGGATAGACATGATCACAGGTCAACGACATGGACATGGACCTCCACGTTGTTTTACATGTGGCTCAGTTCCAGCTGCTAAATCAAAACTGAAAGGTGTAAATGCCAAGGGACGGGAATCTGTTTTTTATTTTAGTAGACTAGCAGTGAAAACTACCCTTTACAAAGCAAATTAGAAACAACCGAATACTTCTGCAGTCTTTCTGTTTCAGGCAGGGGCTCACCATGTAGCTCAGGTTAGCCCCCTTACTCACGCTCCTCCTTCCCCCAGCCTCATCAGTGCTGGGATGGCAGATATCTCTATCACTCCTTACTCCACCTAATCCTCAGTAATATTCAAAGATAGACTTATTAGGGAAAGGCATTTTAAATCTATGTATTTTCCATAGTGTTCCTTGCAACCCAGGGTGGCAACCAGCTCATTCTGTAACCAATGATGACCTTGAGCTTTTTCTGATCCTTTTATCACTCTACCAGTGCTAGGATTACAGGTGTGCACTACAATATCAGGTTTATGTAGTTGCATATTAAGCAAAGACTCCACTACCAGAGCGTGAGCTACAGCCCCGGTCTCCATATTTACTCTCTCCTCCCTGCTATGTGGAATTCCTAGGAGGTTTCCCATCCAATCACTAACCAGGCTTGACACTGCCCGGCTTCTGAGATCAGATAAGACTCAGTGTGTTCAGTGTGTTTTGGCTGTAGATCCAATATTTACTCTCTAGGTTTGATTTTATTAATTCCCTGTTGAGATAGATACACATTGAATTGAGAACTACTCTGAGCATCGATAGTATAAGGAACTGCCTGGAAAAGCTGCTGGCTGGGCCCTGTTACCTTGTCAAATATGCTTACTCAGCTTGCTGGCTTCTGTTCTTTTGGTGAGGAACGAATGGCCATCTTACAGGGACTAGTTCTCTAGGACAAGGTTTGCTCTGTGTTCTGATGCCCATGTTAACTAACTTCAGTGCAGCAATAAACGGATTCTGCAGCAGGAAGAAGGGGCTTGCTTTCAGCTGTACTCCATGTACAATGTGAACTGCTTTAGCACCCACCTGGGGATAACTGTTCAGTGTGCTCACGACACTTCTCAAAGCTCCCGGTTTTCTTTTGATAAAATGAGGGCATGGAACCGACTTTCAGATTGATCTGGAGACTTGAATTACAAGAATTTGGAATGTCCCTGACACATAAAAGGAACTTAGCTGGCAGAATTAGTATTTGCTGACTTTAATTTAGGGGAAGGCAGTTCTTGACCTAAATGTTCAAAGGAGGTATAATTATTATTTTTTTAAAATCAAACTATGGCACTCACACTTCTAATTCCCTGTCCAGGGAGTGTCTATGTTACTATTTTGAAAACAGAATCAGTGAGATGTTTTGGGAACTCTGCTCTCAAGTTTAATGACTCAAGTGAAGCCAGCAATCATTTTTGAAAATGGGTAATGAGGATCTCTCCCTATCCACCGAAGTCAAGTTGCAGGGGAGAGTCATGTGTTGTACGGATAATCTGTGGTGGAGAAAACTTTGTAAATAATAAAAATAAACTTTTAAGTTGTTTATTTATTTTATGATAAGAAGGGCCCTGGGGTTGTACAGGTGAGAAAATTCTGTTCTTACAGGAAAAAGGAAGCAAAAGGGGAAGCAAAGAAAGTTGATTCCACAACTGCTTCCTACTTAGAGCTGTCTAAGTTAGTAGACGTTGGTTAAACTTGTCATTAGTCCAAAGAATGAACATAATTCTAAAGCCTTCGGCTTCTACAGCTTGCAAACAGAACAAGCTCCTTCCCTGAGGTCTGAAGGGCTGAGCGGGACAGCAAATGAGTCTCTCATCTTACTTTCCAGTTCTCGTATTGTTTTTTTCTTGAGCTGTAGCTACACAACCCTATTTTCTTTTTATTAAAGCAAGGTCAGCCATATTAATTGTCCCACAAGTAGGTGTATTTTCATCTCAGAGCTTCTGAATTAATTGCTAAATATACACAAAGGCACACATAAAGAGTTGCTCCTATCAATGGGAAGGGCTTTATGCTAAAATAATTTTTGCATATTTCTAGACCTTATGAAAGAAATTTATTCTAGATTATGGATTCTTATCAGAGATATTCATAACTCATATAAGCTTAACCAGTAAGTTAATTGAAGTACTTTAGGTTTGGTTACCAGGAAAACAAATGACTGCTCAGTTCAGTTCTGATATACTACAAGTTTCCTGAATTAGTTTGGCAGTAAATTGTCTGGACTCTGGTGCCTTCCTTGATCTGTCTTTAAAACATGGAGCTCAGTGAAAGTTAATGAATTCATGCTTCCAAAGTACTTTGAGGTCTCCTTATACTACTATGTGAATGTTACAATTCTGAAAAGATATTTTAGCCTTTCCTTTGTTCAAGGACGCCAGAATCCTCATTTGGAAGAAATAATTAAATCTGAATGTTAATATGTTAATGTATAATTAGGAATAAAACAATCACACGCTCACTACAGTACTGGTTTCAAAAACATACTGTGGCAAGTTTCCTTGGTTCCCTCAAGGATTCCGAGGTCTACAGATGAGACATATTTGTTCATATCTTTCAGAAGCCAAAAGGAGTTACCACCCTGATAGTTGGAAAAGATATGACAAAATAAGAAACAAATCAATCTCTTACCTATTAGCAAGGTGGAGCACACAGCTGCATGAAGCAATTTATAGGCCATGATCCTGTTTTAGAAAAAAAAAAGATGTATTTATTTTAATATATCCCAGACAAAGCTTTAGGGCACAGTAGACATTTTTTCCCAGGCATATAAAGTATTTACTGTGTACCTGAATGCCTGAAAGGAGTCAGGGAGAGGCACTTGCTTGACGTCACAGTTTTATATGCCTCCTGTCCCTTTACCCTTTGGACTTTTTTGAACTGACTTTACAGGCTGTTCTTACAGGAACCATTTATTTACATAATATGTCAAAAAGGAGGAGGAGGAAGAGGAGGAGGAGGAGGAGGGGGGGAGAGGAGGAGGAAGAAGAGGAAGAGGAGGGAGGAGTGGAGGAGGAAGAAGAGGAGGAGGAAGAAGAGGAGGGAGAAGAGGAGGAGGAAGAAGAGGAGGGAGAAGAGGAGGAGGAAGAAGAGGAGGAGGAAGAGGAAGAGGAGGAGGAAGAAGAGGAGGAGGAGGAAGAAGAGGAGGAAAATTAGCATCACAACTACTACTACTACCATCACCACCACCACCACCACCACCACCATCACCCCTCACCTCCCAGGACACTTCCACTTTTAATGGAAACATTTTTAAAATATACAATTGTGTCCAAAGATAGTTTGGTAGTTTTTTTTTTTTTTAAGTCACAGCACAGGCTGGAGAGATGGCTCAGTGGTTAAGAGCAAGGAGGCTCTTCCAAAGGTCCTGAGTTCAACTTCCAGCAACCACATGGTAGCTCACAACCATCTGCAATGTGATCTGACTTTCTCTTCTGGTGTAACTGAAGACAACTACAGTGTACTCATATACTTAAAATAAATAAACAAATCTTTAAAAATAAAGTCACAGCACACAATTAACATTCAACCAACAATTCCAGTACTGGACATATATCTCAGAGAGTCAACACTCATGCCTAATAAATAGCTTTATTATTAGAAAGCAAACCCATGAAACATACTGGATACTATTCAATGCCAAATGTTAAGTTGTAGTACACATGTCTTACGGAGTATTATCAGTAAAAAGTATCATTTGTAGATACAGTAGTTTGGATGAATATCAGGGAATTCAGTGAAATGACGGGTACATCCTTTATGGTTAATTCATTTAATCTTTTTGAAAACAACAAAATCATGGATATTCAGAACAGATTAGTGGTTGCCATAGATTAGCAATGAAGAGGGAAAAGAAGGCCAACATGGATTACCGATGGGAAATGTGTGGATAGGTCTCCTCTGTATCTGAACTGTGATGAGGATGTGACATAAAACTGTGTTCAAATTAAGTGGAACTTACTACACATCACACACAATGAGCCCATGCTGAACCAGGGAGATCTGTGACATAGCAGTTAACATTCCCTCTACATGTTAGAGGCTTTACTGTACTTTTGCAAGATGATACTATTGGGAAAAGCTTGGTAAAGGGCACATGGTACCTCTCTAGGTTATTTCTTACAAGTGTGTGCAAATCCCTGCATCTCAAAATAAAGCTTAATTAAGAGCAAAGTGTTTAGCTGCACTGTGATATCTGTTTCCAACAACAAAATGCAAAGCAAACCACTACCCCACTCTCACGTCGCCAACAATTGTTTATGCCTGGGTGTGATGAACATTTAACTGGGTGGATTCATCATCTGATACAATTTGTTGTAAATGGCAAACTGTACATCTGTTGCCCAGTCTCACCAAGACTTTCAATCTCGAATATGTATAAAGATATAAAAGTGGTGAAAACATCTTCCTGATGGCCATCTGTATTGTGCAGGGTGTTGGAATACCTGGATCTCTGGCTGGGACCAGGTCTCCATAAACTTAGATGAAAGGCTTGGAAGAACTCTATCTGAAAAGAAACATGGTAATCATGGAAGCCCATCCTAGGTGCCAGCCACACAATACCTCCCAGGTGTCCATCTACACCACAACTCCCAGATATCCACTCATATTACACTTCCCAGGTGTCTATCCACACCACAACTCCCAGGTGTCCACACACACTACATTTCCCAGGTCTTCATGTACACCACATCTCCCAGGTGTCCACCCAAACCACACCTTCCAGGTGTTCATCCATACCACACTTTCCAGGTGTCCATCCATACTACACCTCCCAGGTGTCCATCCACACCATACCTCCCAGGTGTCCATCCACACCACAGCTCCCAGGTATTCATCTATACCAGCTGTTCTCAGCCTTCCTAATGCTCCCACCTTCCTCATGTTGTACTGATCCATAATCAAGATTATTTTTGTTTCTATTTCATAACTGTAATTTTGCTATAGTTATATATTGTAATGTAAATATCTGTTTTCTGGTGGTCTTTGGGAATGACAGCTCACAGGCAGAGAACCACTGATCTACACAACATCTCCCAGGTGTCCATCCGCCACACACCTCCTAGGTATCCATCCACACCACACTTCCCAGGCCTTCATCTACACCACACCTCCCAAGTGTCCATACTACATCTCCCAGGTGACCATCCACACCATACCTCCCAGATGTCCATTCACTCCACATCTCCCAGGTGTCCACCTTCACCACATCTCCTGGGTATCCATCCACACCACATTTCCCAGGTGTCTACCCACACCATACTTCTCAGGTCCAGTTTTCACCTCCACAATTCTATGAGACTCCTTTGCTTTTAGTTGTGTGTTGTGTCCTGGAATCTTGGGAAAATACTTAACTTTAAAGTCAGGATAAAAAGAGAATTATATCTTATCTTCCCTAACTTTCACAACTTTACAGTTTATGAACTTAAAAACAAAGCATATGGAGAAGAGGGAAGGGAGGGGTTACTTAGCCTATTATTATTGTTGTTATTGTTATTACTATTTGCTTCTTCTTATTATTCTCACATAAGTTGTTATTCATCTCTGTTGCATGGGATGCAGGAAAGAAGTAGAAAATCATAATATGAGAAGGGTGTGGTGGTGCATGCTTTTAATCCCAGCACTAGGAAGGAAGAGGCAGATGGATCTCTGCGTTTGAGGTCAGCCTGAGCTACAGAGCAAGTTCCATGACAATCAGGCATACACAGAGAAACCGTGTCTTGAAAAAAACAGGAAAAAATAAGAGTGTTCTCAGGTTCGCAGACACTCCCTAGCTTGTCCAAGGAGTGTTCAGAAATTCAGATCAACCTTCACAGAGCTCCAGAGGCTGCTCATGCATATATGTGGGATCTGAGTAATGTATCTAATCAGGTGTTTTCAGTCCCAATTGCCAACGTGACCTGAGCACCAAACTCAGTTTCTTAGAAGTGGAATATATATAATACAATATCCTTTATGGGCCAGAATATAGTCTTTTCTGTGAGTAAAGCCTTCCTTGAGATTCAAGTGTGACAAGGTTCCTCTCTACCATGTGCCTCCCTGTTGTCCTCAGGCCAGGCTTCCCTGCATTGTGATATTCCCAAGTAAATGACAAGCTTTCTGAAGGCTGTT